AAGAATTTTCCCCAATTTGATTAAAGCAAAGGGAGCCCCAATATTATATGAGCTTTAGTTTGAGCTTTAGTTAAAGCGCCCCTGCTGCCACTTTTCAGCATGGGGACGCTGATATACAAGACGCTCCAGGCACTTTAGTTAGAGGGGCTTTTGGAACCTAATTAAAGCACCTGCCCCCCCCCACTACTGGAGCACATGTATAAATGCCCTCTGTTCTGTTAATCATATTAGTTTGTATGGCTTGACTAGCTTTGAAGTGTGGTAGATCTCATTACTTTTGTTGAACAAGCAATCAGCTAGCTCAGGTTTGTAACTTACAGTGAAGACGAGCTTTAAGTGTAAAATCGTAGCCTCATAGAATCCACTGTAATTATTGGTGCCCATGAGCATAAGAAAGGTGAGGAGGTAGTTAGCCATGTTAGTCTGGAGTCAATTAGAAGGCAGGGTAGATGCATACCTTTAGGCTAAGTACAGACAGTCAGAAAGCCCAAGACTGAATCAATTCAATCTTTGCATTTCTGGAATCACTTTTGGTTCTGAAAATGCAGCCACATGCCTGCAGCAGCCCAGGAAAAAAGCCAGGGGGCACTAGAGCACACAGCCTTGCTCAGCTGGAGCAGATAGTTTGGGTCAAAGCTAGCTCACCCACCCTGTGAGGGAGGGTTTGTGGGGGAGGTGCAAAGCATCTGGGCGACCTGTGAGTTAACCTGAATCTGCAGGGGAATCCAGGACAGAAGTTTGATAAACTGGTTTAACTTATATCAATTAAGTCTGATACAATATTCATCCACTTTTATCTTAAACCTGTTTCAGCCACTTTGGCTTGGGACAGAAATTGCACATAAACCGGTTTAAGAGATCAGAAACTGCTTTAAATCTGTAACAACAGAAATTTCATGCACTTTAAACACTTTGAAAATGGCCAAACCTGGTTTAAGGTAAACCTGGTTGGATGCAGTACCAGACTTAACTGATTTAGGTCAAACTGGTTTATGGAATTTCTGTTCCAGATCCCTTCCTGGTTCAAGTTAACTTACAGTCCCCCAGCATCCCATGATGCTTTGCAGTGCTGTGCTGTGCTGTCTGCTCCAATGGGCAGGGTCTGCCCTGCCCTTCTGCGCCCTAGCCAGAGCAATGTCACTTCTCTGGGTGGCTGAGGAGGCGGCAAGGAGGGAAAAAAACTCAGCCCTCTAGCTCAGCACCAGACTGCCAGCCAGCTGCTGCTGGCCTCGGGAGACACAGTCTGCAGTGGGGGGTTGACTCTGCCCCCCCCCCCCCCGAGCCAGGAGTTGGGTGGCTGGGAAGTGGGGAAAACCCTGCACCAGGGCTTGGCTCTTCCCCTCAGAGCTGAGAACAGGGGAGGAGTCACCTTGCTCCACCCCTTTCTTAGCTGAGGAGGCATGACTCCCAGCTCTCTGGGGTGGAGCCAAGGCCCTGCTACAGGCTTCTCCATCCTCCTTCCTTCAGCTAGCCTGGAGGTGGATAAGGGGCATGCCTCCCTGCTCTGCGGTAGCGGAGCCTGGACCCCCCCGTACCCTCTCCCCTCAGCCCACCCAGAGGCTGAGAAGAGGGTGTGACTGGGGGACTCCAGCCCTGCTCCCAGCTCTGAGGGGGGCATGGAGTCCATCCTCACTGCAGGCTTCCCTGCATTCAGCCTGGAGGCTGAGG